AGATGAGCCTGAAGCCTGGCTTTCCCAAGGTCATGCAACAAAAGAGTGGCAGGTCTTGGATCAGAAGCCACCCCTCTGAAGACCCAGGCCAGTGCTCCTTTTCCTGCTTTTTTGTTGAGTCAGAAGAGCACCAGATTTGCCATCAGGCACGCTTAGATTTGGACATACGACTTGCTATGTATTGTGTGAACTTGGGCAAGCTGTTTAATGAACTGCCCCCAAATCGTTATTTTTAAAAATGGGGTCAAGAGCTCACAGGGTCGTTATGATACTTGAGTGAACGTGAAAGTGTGCTTGGCACGTTTCCTAGTATGTAGTAGGCTCTCAGTTTAAATACTAGCTTTCTCCGTAATTCCTTTACCCACCCTTTTACTTCTTCTGGGTTTATTTATCTGTTCTTTTATAAGTCTTGCTTCTGGACTGCCACAAATCTGCCATGGTTTCCAGTGACTTCCCCAATTTCTATAAATATCTCCTAAGGGCCATGAGACCCTGATAAGACCCTAAGGACATTTTGGAATCTCCTCATGGCTGGCTGCTGACTTTCTACTTTTTTCTCCTTTCTCCTTCTCCTTCAGCGGTTCAGGAGGAGCGTCAGCGGGGGAAGGACAAGGATGGGGATGGGGAGGGGGCTGGGGGAGCCCCCGAGGAGATGCCCGTGGACAGGATCCTGGAGGCAGAGCTTGCTGTGGAGCAGAAGAGTGACCAGGGCGTTGAGGGTCCTGGGGGAACGGCGGGTAGCGGCAGCAGCGTGAGTGCTGGGGTCAATCTACACTTCTTCCTGATGGGGGTGGGGAGGCGGGAGTCTAGGTCTGTTCTACCTCCCCCTCCCCTCCCTTCCCCTCACAACCCATCTAACACTGCCGGGGACGGAAGTGCCGCCAAACAAGGTCTCTTAGACATCTGAGGTAGGCGTGATAGCATCCTCCGTCCCCACTCCCAAAACAATCCACTCACAGAACCACAGGCAAGTCCCAAATTAATAACTTTTCCTGAATGCTAGAAGAGGAGGAATTGGTTCAGATGGGGCTTGAAGAGAGACTACAAATAAGGAGGGGGTGTCAAAAGCCTCTTATGGGGTTGGGGGGGGCTCCCAGTGTACTTCCAAATCTTCTATAACTCTCACCCCTCCTCCCCTGCAGCCAAACGATCCTGTGACTAACATCTGCCAGGCAGCTGACAAACAGCTCTTCACACTTGTTGAGTGGGCAAAGAGGATCCCACACTTTTCCTCCTTGCCTCTGGATGACCAGGTCATACTGCTACGGGCAGGTCAGTGACCTTGGACTCCTTGAATCTCTTGTCATTTGACCCCTCTTGGACCTCCTGACCTTCAGGGACCCCAGCGGCCTTACCTTGCATACTCAGAGAGCCAGTCTCATTGACCTCGCCACCCCTTCTTCTCTTCCCCTGATGTGCTTTCAATCCCATGGCCTGATCCCTGGCGCGTCACCCTTGCCGCCCCCCACCCCCAGGCTGGAATGAGCTCCTCATTGCCTCCTTCTCTCACCGATCCATCGATGTCCGAGACGGCATCCTCCTCGCCACAGGTCTTCACGTGCACCGCAACTCAGCCCATTCCGCAGGCGTGGGAGCCATCTTTGATCGGTCAGTGGCCCTCGGCTGGGCTGGCCTGTCGGTCGAGGGGGTGGGGCTATAGGCTGGTCCGTGTCCAAGGCTGGCTGAGCTGTGACCTTTGAGTGACCTGCAGGTCCCTCTCCAGGGTGCTGACAGAGCTAGTGTCCAAAATGCGTGACATGAGGATGGACAAGACAGAACTTGGCTGCCTGAGGGCAATCATTCTGTTCAATCCAGGTAAGAGGAGGATTACCCCCGTCTCTCAAGACCAAGGCAGCCTTGGAGCCTCCTCTTCTTCGGAGACTCCTAAGTTACCCAGCTATCCCCCTCAACCTAGAAATCTCACAGCTGACAAAGAAGAACCCACATCTGCTGATAACATTCCCTTTGCAACCCCATCCCTCAAACCCATTGTGCCCTGCTTCCCTTGCCAGGCATCTGGTGAAGGGCGTGTAGGTGGGGCCCAAAAGGGACATCGTGTGGGCCACACCTCCACATTTGTCCTGATTTGATTTGCCCTCCTTCCTCTTCCTCCTCTCTTCCCTGCCATCCCAGATGCCAAGGGCCTCTCCAACCCCAGCGAGGTAGAGGTCCTGCGGGAGAAAGTGTACGCGTCCCTGGAGACCTATTGCAAACAGAAGTACCCTGAGCAGCAGGGCCGGTGAGAAGGCGCTGTGGGGCTGAGGGGCTGTGGGAACCGAGGCTCCTGCTGGGGTGGGGGTAGTGCCATGTGGCTCTAGCTCTCACTCCATGTCTCCCATTCCCTCCTCAGGTTTGCCAAGCTGCTCTTGCGTCTTCCTGCTCTCAGGTCCATAGGCCTTAAGTGTCTAGAGCATCTGTTTTTCTTCAAGCTCATTGGCGACACTCCCATCGACACCTTCCTCATGGAGATGCTTGAGGCTCCCCACCAGCTGGCCTGAGCCCACACCCAGACGTGGTGTTCCTCACGCTTGAGGAGGGCACATGGGCAAGGGACTCTGAGCCTTGGGGCAGGGTGGGGAGGGACCATGTTCCTAGAATCTTGGTGGGGTGAGGAGCATAGGGCAGAACGGAGACCTCCAACGGGGGGTCCCTAAACCCTGCAAGGGTTTGCTTGGCATCCCAAGTCAGAGGGGACCCCAGACCACTTTGAGGGCTGGACCTCTCCCTTCAGTGGCCTTGAGTCTCTGAATTTGTCTGGCTCCGCCATGATCTGGGGGTGCTTTCTTACCCCTGGCCTGGAACGGCCTCTCCTTCCCCCAGCACAGAGCACTGGCCTTGCTCCCAGGACCTGGCTTCCTTCTCGTCTTGCTTCACTTAGCCCCCCATCTGAAGAATGGAAATGGGAACTCCCACAGAGATGGATATTGGGGGGCAGGCCCCCCAAACGGATGGACATGGGAGTAAGGCTCTGACAGGCCTTCCTCCAACCAAGCCTGGCAGATGGGGGCTTCTCTGGAATAAGGAGGGGCCCTGTCGCTGTCCCATGTCCAGAGCCCCCTCTCACGCTTCACCTTCTGCCGTCAGACTGAAAAAGAAAAAGGTGGTGGTGGCTAAGGGGCGGGTGGAGATGTAGGAACCCATGTGCTATTTTTAATTTTCTCTGAGGATAGAGACTTGCAGTTAGACTCAAAGAAGTACTGTACTTTCCCAGGTTGACTAAGAAATGCCAGTGGTGGAGGTGGTGTTCGGGAAAGGCAGGGCCCTGAGGTGGTCTGCGGGGCTGGCTCTTCAGCACTGGCCTTCCCAGCCCCCTCCCCCACTCTTTCCGTCTGGCTTGGGGAAGGGGCCTGGGCTGTGAGGGCGGGGTGTGGGGAAGTGGCTTGGTGAGTAGTCCTCAGACCCTTCCCCTCCCAGCTCTCCCCCCAGCCCGGGGCACACACCTTGTAGGCTGGGGGCACAGGCTCCTGGCCTCAGAACTGAGGGGAGATGGCCCGCCTGCAGAAATGGGGTGATGGGGCTGCATGATTTTTGCCCTGCGGCTCTTCTCTCCGGGGTTCCCTTACCCTCTCTTTCACTCACATAAAATCGCTTTCAAATTAAAATCGCTGTTTTCTGGACTGAGGTGACTGTATGAGGGGTGGGGCAGCGCCGCACCGGGCCGCGTGTGGGAGGGTATCCGGTCGGGAGCTCCGGACCGGCTCCCTGGACGCCGCCGCCGCCGCCTAAGTTCCCTGGGGCCTCGGAGGCGGGCGCAGGGTGGGGGACACAAGGCGCGCTTTGTCGCGGAGGTGGGGGGAGAGGGTGTGCCAGCCTGGGGGCGGGGCCGGCCGGAGGGATGGGGGCGGCTGACTCTCAAAGGCGCCTTGTTCGCGGGCGCCCTCCCCAGCGCCAGCGGGCGGCGGCGCCTCGGCTCGCTCCGGGCTTCCCTCCGGCCGCGTCGCGGGCTCCGGGCAGACCCGGCGCCGTGCCCGCTCGTGGGGGCGCACTGGGCGCCGAGCGCCGCGGCTTACTCCTGTGTTGCCCGCCTGGAGGCGGCCTCGTCCCCGAGTGACCCCGTTTCCCGTACTCTGCCAACCAGTGTCGGCGGACCCCCGCGCCCCCGCCTCTCCACTGGGTGCCTTTCCACCTGGGCTCCCGGGCGCCGTTACGTCGTCCCCCTACTTCCATCCCTTGGGACCTGATTAGCCTGTGTGTGGGTCTGTCCAGTCTCTGGCCTCCCCCCTAACGGCCCTCCCGCCTCGCCCCCCACCCCCGCTCCCCGCGGCCGTCGGTTGCAGGTCCCCAGTCGCTATCTATAGCCGTGTCTATAAATACCGTGCCCCGGGCCAGGCTCTGTAATTACAGCGGGCGGACCGGGCCGAGGGGAAATAATTATGGAGACCCGACGGGGTGAGGGGAGGTAGCGACCCCCAGGCCCGCCTCTCCCCTCCCACTGTGCTGTAAATCCCGCCCCAGACTCTGCTGAAAGGGGGCTCTGGGCCCCCAAGGGGGAGTAACGAGAAGGGGTGTTGTGACTGGACGTCTGGGCCCCCCCAAAGAAAGAGACTGGGGAAGAGATATTGGGGTTCCCGAAAAGAGAATCCTAAGGTACAGGCCACTGAGTCTCTGCGAGAAGCAGAGGAGAGCAGTCCGAGGGTCAGCGAGGGAGGGTTCCCACTCGCACCCCCACACCAGGTGGAGATCGGGGGTGGGGTTTCCCTCGGTGGCTGTGGGCGGGCGGCTGGAGGCAGGGGCTGGGCCGGGGGCGGGAGCGGGGTGGGGGCTCTGGGCTGCCGGGGTGGCCGGGGACACACAGGAGCGGCGGCCACCGAGGAGGGAGCAGCGCCGGAGCCCCGACGGCGCCTCGCTGCATGGAGCTGGGTCACTGAGAGCTGTCGCCACCCGGCAGCCTCCGACTTCCCCGGGACCCCGGCGTGCGAGCCTGCTCGCTGTCTCCTGCCAGCGTCGGGGTGTCCGGCGCCTCCGGCGGTCCCTGGGACCTGGCGTTCCGGGCGCCAGCTATGGAGCGGTGCAGCCGCTGCCATCGCCTCCTCCTGCTGGTACCGCTGTTGCTGGGCCTGAGCGCGGCCCCCGCCTGGGCAGGTAAGGGGAGTCCCAGCGCCTGGGTCATCGGAATCTCCGCACACCTCGGGACAGGGGACAGCTGATGCCTGGGGAGCAGGGGGGAGCTTCTGGGTCCAAGAATGGGATTTGGGGGGGTCAGGGGTCCAGACTGGAGGGCAGGACACCTAGGATCCTTGGAGCCGGGGTGGGGATCTCTTTCCCTCCTTGAAGTGACTGGTGGAGGGCGGGTAAGGTTGAATGGCGGAGCATCACCTGAGGGCGGTGAGTGGGGCTGGATGGTGGGGTCCTCCAGCAGGGCCACTGTGGTCCAGCTGGTGCTGGAGTCAGGGCTAGATGCCAGTGTTGATGAGTGAGAGGCGCATGTCTGTCTTCTGTCTCTCTGTCTGTATCTCTGGGGTGAGGGGGGGAGCATCCTTGGTCAGAGCAGAGCCTCGAAAGTAGAGAAAGAAGGGATACCTGGACTATTTGTCCCATCAGCTTCCCCGACAGGATCCCCTTCCCCCTCCCCGTGCCCTCGATGCTGCCACGCGGCTGGCTCTGGGGAGCATTGGGGCTGGCTGCCAACAGGACGGCCGCTGGACAGGCCAGGATCAGGTGTCTGAGGCAGGAGCCAACTCTTTGCATTCCTGCCCCGCCCCTCCCCCTCTGGCCAGCCGGGCTCCCCTGGGACCCTGGCATCCACAATCCCAATCTTTTCCTTGTTTTTCCCAGGATCCAGAAGTCCTGGTTCCTAGGAGAGGGGGTTTGATGTTGGAGGGGAGGAGGCTGGGAGTACCTGGGTACTAGGCAGGCTGGAGCAAGCCCCCTCCCCCCGTGGAAACACTGGAGGCTGATTTGCATATAACTTGACTATTCATTTCTTCTCTGCTTTGGAGACAAGATGGTCAGAAAAGCAGCATAAAGGATTAGATTAGATTACAGAAGGAAGAACTTTCAAGATAGGAGGAGCATGCGGCTCAGGGACAGAAAATTGAAGTGTGGGATGTCTGTAGACTCTAGGAGTCTTTTTTAGGGAGAAAAGGGGACCTTTAACATGGAGGCAGGGGGATGGCTGAGATGACTGTCTCTTATTTGGGGGTTGAGTGGGTAGAGGTGGGACTCTAGCGGGAAATAGGTTAGTGTGGAATTCATCAGAGTAAAGAAAGGGGTGTTTGGGGGGCCAGAGGTAGAGTGGTGGGGGTGATGGGGCCACCAGTGGGGAGACTGGGGCAGATTGAGGCCAGAGACAGTGGGGCACGTATGTAGCTTGAAGTGGGAAGATGGGTGGGCAGACCTGTGGGTAGGTTGTCTATAGGATGGAACTGTACTCTTCTGGGGTTTGGTGGAGGGTGGGGCCCTCTGAGGTCTCCTTGGCCTGGGGTCTCTGTGAGTCTCTGTGTCTCTGTCTCACTTACCCTTCGTCTCTCAAAGCGGCCCTTGTGTGTTGGTGTTTGCGGAGCTGCCACACGTGGGGGCCAGGCTAGGGCAGGGGGGTGGGAGGGGGCAAGGCCGTGGTTTCCCGGCTCCTGGACTCAAAGGGCCTTTTCTCTGCCTGCCCACCCCACCTCACCCGCCCCACCCAGCTCTGCTCTCCTGATCACTCTGGCCCCTGCCCTGCCCCACACTTCTATGAGGGTTTTGCTGGAACTTTCTTTGGGATTTTTCCAATGGAGCTGATGGAGTGAGAAGTACGTGTATTGGGGAGCAAGTGAGGAAGAGGCGACCTCTGTCTTCTCAGGAGTTTGAACCCTCAGAAGCCGAGTTCTAGGGGGATAGGGCTGGTGGCCCGGGCCTTGAATCTTTGGACCGTGGCGGGGGGGGGGGGGGGGGGGGGGGGGGGCGGGCACGGTCGAAGTTCCAGGTGTGGGGAGCTTGCCCGGGTTTTGGGCAAAGGACCCTGATGGGATCCACAGATGTGTGGCTCCAGGCCCTGGACCTGCTCCGGCTCTGCGTGGCAGCTTCAGGCTCCCCACCCGCCCCTGCACCCCAGCCCATCTCCCAAGCCAGGGGCACCAGCTCCTGGGTTGGCCCTTTCTTGTATCTCCTTCCTCTGCATGGTCAGAGGTGTCCCCACCTCCCCAAACACGGGAACCACAGCAGCTTGCAGTCCCCTCCCCACAGAGCTGCCTCTCTGTTCCCTCCCTCGTGGCCCCCCTGCACCTCCCGTGCCCAGGATGATCGTTTGCCCAGATGTTGTTTATGCTGGAGACATGGGACTGAGGCCAGAGACCCAGAGACCAAGAGACACGGAAAGGGAGGAAGAGAGGGAGAAGGGAAAAGTTGGGTAGAGTGTGAGGGAAACGGAGGAAGACAGAAGAGCCGGGGAGAGAGAAAGACCCACAGATACAGAGACAGAGAGAGTAAGCGTGACAGAGCTAGAGTAAAGGGAAGGCAGAGTTGGGACGGAGAGGTTAAGAGAGAATAGAGAGAGATTCATAGGCTGAAAGACGGAGATAGGGAAGGAGTGACAGAGACAGAGGCTGGGAGGCGGGGACAGTGGTGGGCAGGGAGCTGAATACCGGCTCAGCGCTGCCCTTTTCCAGGTGACTTTCGTTTTCCATCCATTCAGGCCCCGTTCAGGAGCAAGTAAGGGAGAGGTGACTTTTATCTTCCAAGGAGTTTGAGCCCCAGGAAGCTGAGCTCTAGACCCCAAATGTCCCCTGTGTGGGCCCTCCTGAGAGTGTGTCCCTTCCCCTGACCCTCGTGGACTCTCCCAGGTGCAGCCCCTGTGGACGTGCTGTGGGCCCTGAGGTTCCCCTCCCTCCCTGACGGTGTCCGGAGGGCGAGAGGCATTTGTCCAGCTGATGTGGCTTACCGAGTGTCCCGACCCGCCCAGCTCAGTGCACCCACCCGCCAGCTCTTCCCAGGTATGGGTGACACGCTGGAGGAGGGAAAGTTGGCCGAGGTCACAGGGCAGGGTCTGGGATCAGACACGAGAAGGGAAGGGGTTAATGTCTCGCTTTGCCTCTCACTCCACCTGTGTATGTCTCTCCGGTACCAGGAGGCTTTCCCAAAGACTTCTCTCTACTGACTGCTGTCCGGACCCGCCCTGGCCTCCAGGCTCCCCTCCTGACTGTCTATAGTGCCCAGGGTGTCCGACAACTGGGCCTGGAGCTCGGCCAACCTGTCCGCTTCCTGTACGAGGACCAGACTGGACGGCCTCAACCTCCTGCTCAGCCCGTCTTCCGAGGCCTCAGCCTAGCAGATGGCAAGTAAGTCAGTTTGCTCCTCTGGCCTGTCTGGCCTACCCTTTCAGGAGCTACCCTCTGGCCCCTGCCCGCAGAGCCCCCATGCCCTAATCTAGGAAACCCTGCCGACCCTGTGGGCCACCACTCACTTACCCACTGCCCAAACTTCTGCCTAGTCACTTCTAGCCCAGAGTTTGGGCTTTAGAGTTTAAATCCTTGCAAGTAGGACTAGCTTGTACCTTGGGCAAGTTCCTTGACTTTTTTGAGCCTTGGTTTCTATGTCTGAAAAATAGGGACAATAGAACTGTGAGAATCAAATGAGAAAGTGATGGGATGGTGCCTGGTGTATTGTAAGCCCTCGGTACATGGTAGTTAACTGTGATTACTACTATTGTTATCATTGACTTGTCAACCCTTCCATCAAGGGCTGCTCAGCCCTCTTGACTTTCCCCCCTTCAGTCAGTTTCTTGAACCTCCCTCCTCCCTGTCCCTATGACCAGATGGCACCGTGTGGCTGTGGCTGTGAAGGGCCAGTCGGTCACCCTCATAATTGATTGCAAGAAGCGAGTCACCCGGCCCCTCCCCCGAAGTGCTCATCCAGTATTGGACACCCGAGGCGTGATCATCTTTGGTGCTCAGATCCTGGATGAAGAAGTCTTTGAGGTAACCAGAGCAGCCAGAGAGAGGAGTGACTTCTGGTCCTATGCCTTGTATCCACTCCCCTTCTGACCTCAGTACTCTGTCTTCCTATGTCCTACCCTTCACTTTTCCTTTCATAAATTTATATTTCCATTTCCTATCTTCAGGGCTAATTTTTTTTTTCTGTAGGAGAATTAGGTGCCCACTTATGTGGCAGGATTGTCCACAGTCACTTATTCTGTCACTCAGTTTTCATTAGTCCACCCATCCATCCATCCCTTCAACTGATCCATCGGCAGATCTATTCACATCTATTCACCCACGCATCCATTCACACACTCACCCACCCACTCAAGCATTCAGTCTTGTATTCTCCCACCTGCCCATTCTTCCCCTGCTCAGTCACTCCCTCCTGTAAACCACCCATCTATTCAGCTATCCTTCTGTCCATCCATCCTCTTTAACCCATCCATCCACCTATTCACTCATCCATCCACTCACCCACCCCGTCTACCCATGCATAGGATACATGCATGCAGCTAGCAACTCATTTACCCACCGCACTCTCCACCCTACCATTTCTTCACTTCCATCCATCTACCGACACACTGTTGGTATCTACCCTGCACCTCCCATTTATTGACCCACCAGTCCACCCACACAGACATTCACCATCCATCAACGCTCCCATTCAGTCAAGTGCTCGAGCCCTCATTCACCCACCCACCCACCCACCCATCTGTCCATCCAGCCATCCATCTGTCCATTCACCCACCCAGCCAGTCAACATTTTCTGAACACCTGCTGGCCCAACACTAAGGGAGAACACAGAAGAATAATATCAGATCTCTATCATCCCAAGGAACTACCAGTTCCACTGTGGAGATGAGACAGTATCCCCAAACTAGAATACAATGCAGGGTGTGCTTATCACCACATGTGGGCACAAATAAATGCCACTGGAAATCAGAACTGTCTTCCCCCCATTTCCAGAGATCCTGAGACTTCTCATCGTCGTTGTCATTGGAAGGTCAAAGCAACTAAGGTTGGGCCACTGTCTCCAGAAGCCCTTGTGAACAGGCTCATGCATGGCCACATGGGCAGGGTGTAGGCCAAGAGTTGAACTTACACTTGGAAGGCTTGAATTCTAGTCCTGATTCTACCACTTCGAGTGACCTTGGGCCAGTCATTGTCTCTTTGAAATTTTATGAATGGAATGTGCTTGGAAAATAGGCGTAAAGATCCTTGTCCTACTGACTTCAATCCTTGTCCAACTGTCCAGTTGTTGTGAAGGTTCAATGGGATTATGAATGAGAAGGTCCTTTGAAAACTGAAAAGCACTGTGCATATGGGAGGGCTGGTAATGACCTTCTCCATTATATAGTCTTATCTCGGATTGGCCTCCGACCCCGTGTCCCAGACTCTACCCTGTGTCTCTTGGAAGCCCACTCTGCCTCCCTCCATTGGTGTCCCTTCCTCTTGTCTTTGTAGGGTGATGTTCAGGAGCTTGCCATCGTTCCGGGGGTGCAAGCTGCCTATGAATCCTGTGAACAGAAGGAGCTGGAGTGTGAGGGGGGTTGGAGGGAGAGACCTCAGAGACAACAGTCTCACAGAGCCCAGAGATCTCCGAAGCAGCAACCACCAAGACTTCATAGGTCACAAAACGAGGAACCCCAGCGACAGGTGAGGGAGCTGGTGAACCCCAAACTGCAGCACATCCCAGGGAGGGAAGACACCCTCACATCTCCCCAGTGGAATTGCCCCAATGTCCCAGAGCTCCCCATCCTATTTTGGGCTCCTGTTCTCCCCTCCCTTGTGCCCCTCCCCAGCTGTACCCTCTATTCTCATCACACCCCCCCACCCCCAGTCCTCATTCATCAACCTTTTTATTTTCATTTAAAAATAAAAAGTCGTCATGAAGAATTCGTGGCTGGGAGCCGTGTCCCCTCCTTGTGTCTCCTCCTCTGCTAGTCTTCCTGGGACTGTGCCCTTGGGCTTTCCATCCCCCTTCCTTGAATTAAGAGATTGCGAGACCATGGAGGGTGGGGGTGAGAGCTGGGGACAGAGGATGGGGGAGCAGAGGAGGGGAGAGACAGAAACAGGGAGAAAGTTGAAATGGTAAGACCAGGAGGGGAAGAGGGGAAGGAGTAGGAGGTAGAGTAGGTCTGTGCAAGTGTGGATACGGGGGCCCTCTCTCTGGCCCCCTGCACGAGGAGGTGCTGGATAAGGGACTGGGGGGGTGGAAGGGAAGGGAGGGTACGAATTGGGTGGAGTCTTGACAGTGACAGGGGTCAGTGGCCTGAAGATTGGAGGGTCAATCTCTTAATCACGTCTGCTTCTGTCCCACGTGTGGGACCCACCCCCCTTTCCCACCACCCCTTCTCTCTCCTGACTCCCACCCCTCCTTTCATCCCCAACTCCCACGCCACCTCCTCACCTGCCTGCCCCCCCTTCCCACCTATTCCCACCGCCCCTTCCCTAACCCCAGTCCATTGAGTCTCTCTACTATGACTACGAGCCCCCCTATTACGACGTGATGACTACGGTGACCACCCCTGATTATCAGGTAAACTTGAGGGACTTCTCCCGTTCCCCTCCACCACCCCTTGCAAACATCTATGACACCTTCCTCCCCTCCCCACATGCGGGGAGAGCCACCTTGTATTTAGACTGTGGGCGTTTCCTCACTGCCCCCTCCCGTGTCTCTCTGCTGCAGTGGCCTCCAAGCCCCAACCACAGGGCTCCCCCTCCCCCCAGGGGGCGTCGGACCCCTCCCCGAAAGCCTACCCCACCTGCCAAGAGATCAGCGGCTGGGCAGGCGTTCCCCTCTCGAAGTGGAGGTTCTGGCCCAGCTCGGGGCCAGCCTCCCCTCTCCCGGCGCCCAGCTCGGATGGCAGCTCCCCTCACTGCCCGGGCCCCCCCCCAGGACCAGAGGCAGCGGTTACCAGCAGGTAGAGCCGGGGCATCCAGATCTCTGCCCCCAAACCTCTGTGACTTCGGAGATTCACTCTCCCCAAAGCGTCCCCCCCTCCTAAGGGGCTGCAAGATCTGAGATTGCCCCCACCCCCCAGCACAGACAGACACTGCCCCCCGGGGGATGAACTGCTGCTTGGCCTCCCTTTCCGCTAACCTCTCTCCTTTCCTCCCGTCCTGTGCTCCTCTCCCCACACCTTCCCCCTGGGGTTAGGACCCCACCCCAGGTGAAGAGGAAGGAAACCTGGAGTCACGCCCCTTGCCACCCACTGAGGAGGTAACTCCATCCCCCACCCTCGCCCAGGCTGGGTCGGTGGGCGTCTGTTACCCACTCTCCTTGCCCCATGTCATCTTGATGAACCAGCCCCTCCTCTGGCCGGAGGGCTCTTTGTCATCTCCATTCGTGTCCTTCTGTCTCCCGGTCACTCCGGACCTATCGGTCTGCTTTCCTCTTTCAGAACCTTCATTTTTCTCCAGTGTCCATGTCTCCTGCCATTATTCTTTGATTCTGGAGTAACTTCCTCTCCCTGTTGGTGTCAAATGGTTTTACTTTCTGTCATATTTCTGTTCCCAGGAGCCATTTTCTGTCCAATGCTGTCACTTTTCCTCTTCTGCCCCTCTTTCCATCCATTTCTTTGGTCATTCCTTGGATTCTTTCATCGATTATTATGTCCATGGACTGTCCACTCTGTGTCCAGCCCTCTGGCCACCCTTCTTGTTACCCATCATTTCTTCCAACCGGGCCCATTTTCTGGACCTCCCTCCACATTGGGGGGCTCTGATGGCCATCCCCCTTCTCTACAACGGCTCCCCTTGCTCTTGGGAGGAAAACTCCAGTCCCTGTTACCCTTCAGAAACCTTTGGGCTGGAAGTTGTCACACCCTGGGGTCCAGGGAGAACCTCCTCTCAGCCCTAATGCCCCCGTCTACCCCTCTCCCTCCCCATCCCCGGGAAGGAGCAGACAGATCTCCAGGTCCCCTCCACAGCTGACAGGTTCCTGACAGAGGAATATGGGGAGGGTGGCACAGACCCCACAGCAGGGCCCTACGATTACACCTATGGCTATGGGGACGATTTTCGTGAGGAGACGGAGCTTGGCCCTGCACTCTCTGCGGAGACAGCCCACTTGGGAGCCGTAAGTGAAAGGAGCTCCTCTTCCATCCTTGACTTCCAGTGGGAGCTACAAGAATCGCTTCCTGTTGTTTTTGATTGTTATCTCTTGTCTGTGAGCTACTTCCCATTAGTGGTTTTCCATTTTCTGTTCACATAAGATGTATCTGTTGCTTGAAAACGTTACTTCCTGCCTTCCCTTGCCAAAAGTCTTAATCTATGGATCCTTCTGTTCAGGGCAATTGGTTGTTGCTGTTGGGTTTCTTTTTTTTTTTTTTTCAATCCTATGGCCACTTTCTGTCTTTCTTGGTCACTTCCTGTCTCCATCAAGCTGGATTTTATAAAACTTTTGGTCAGTAAGCCCCTACCTTGTGTCCATTTTCCGTCTGTCTCGATCATTTCTTCTTGGTCGAAACAATTTCTTGTCCATGTTGCTGCCAAATGATCTAACTTCCTCTATCACATTTTCTAACCTACAGGCCACTTCCTGTCTGTCCCCTCCTGTCTTCTCTCCTTCTCTACAATGGCTCCCCTCCTGTCTTCTCCAGTCATGGCATCCGTTCTGGTGACTGTGTCAGATTGAACTGGAAGGGACTTATTCTTTGTGTTTTGGCTCTAGTTTTTCATGCTCTCTTATACTTTGATAATAAGCCGCTTCCTATGTGTCTCAGGTCATCCAAATCATAAAGTTTCCATGTGGGCCTAGATATTTATCACAGCCACCTCCTGTGTGTACTAGCCTTGATGTTTGTGTTTGTTGGAAGAATTGCCTTTCATTGTCATAATCCATTTCCCGGAGTTACTTTCTGTCTGTTTTGTGAATTTCTTTTCTCTCTTGGTTGTGGTAGCCATGTTGTTATTGAAGGTCCACTTCCTGGATCCTCTTTCCTTGGCTGCTTCCTGTCTGTCCCACCACTTCCTGTTTATCTGGTTCATTTGCTAGCCGTCTTGGCCATGTTTAATTTTTCTTGGCCCTGGCATCATTCTTGCTTCCAAGTGTTTGTCCCTTTTTTCTGTCTCCCTTAATTGCGTCCCATGTTTTCAACCACTCCCTGTCAGTGGGGTATTTCCTGTCTACTCACTTCATCTTTTGCCTCTACCCCGCTGCCTCATCCCACCCTCCCTGCTCTAATAATTCCATCCTTGACCCTCTGCTGCCTTTCCCTTCTGCTGCTTTCTGGAAACTTAGGGTTGATCTGGGATATGGGAGAGTTTGGAAATTGATCACTGTTGTTTGAGCAGGATGGAGGTAGAAGGGGGCATTTTGAAGATCTTTGTTGGGAGAGTTGGTGGGGGGGGTGAATATCCTCCATTCTCCTTGTCCTCATCTTGGTTCTGGCCCCAGAGTTGGGAGCGGGCATCTGAGTGGACGTGTGGAAGAGAGGCGACGGGTGGGCTTGAAGTATAAATGAGGGTCAGAGGACGGGTGTAGCATCCTGGCTGGGAGAGGAACTGGGAAAACTTGAGGGGCTTGGCTCGGGGCTTGAGCAACTGAGCCCAGGAGCTGTATTTTTCCAAAGTCCAGTTATGTGGTCTAAGTTTGAGATATCGGTGGGGACTGCTCTCCAGATCTACTTACAGTATGAATGTCTAATCTCCAGGGAGTTTTAAACTTGTGAACCCCTTGAAACTCTAAGTAACATTCTGTGCATAAGGGCGTACACTTTTTCTTTTCTGGAAAAGGACTCCATAGATTACATCAGATCCTCATATGGATACATGATCTTCCCCTAAACCCAAGTAAAAATCTATCCACAATCTTAGAGATATTCTTATTTGGTGAGCTGGGGTAAAGGTGAGGAAGTCGATGGTTTCTTAAGGTTCTCAGGGAGTTTGGGGAATAAGGTGCAGTCCTCCAGAAGAGGGTTTGGGAAGGTTGGGGGTTTGGAATCCCAGGAAGTGTCTGGGGACCTTCCTGAGAGAGGTTCTCAGGGAGATGAGGAGACTGTGTTTGTTGAGGTGGAGCTGGGAATTGTGGGGAGGGGAGCCCTGAGGTCTACCTTGGTAGACCTGGGAGGTCTGTAAAGAGGGAGTCTTAGAGGAGGAGGGGGGGACTTGGGGATAGGGTCAGGAGGTCTCCAGAGGACCTGAGACTGCCACCGGGATGGGGGCAGTCCTGGTGTCTTGGATGCTTACGGGCCCCCCTGGGGGTTACATATGTGTCTCTCTCAGGCTGCCCGTGGTCCCCGGGGGCTGAAAGGAGAGAAGGGGGAGCCTGCGGTGCTGGAACCTGTAAGTCACCATGGTCACCGAGCTGAGGGCAGTGGGATGAAGGGAAGCAGGTGGGGGTGCTAGCCCTATAGCCTCTGACTTTTAACCTTTGACTCCACAGGGTATGCTAGTGGAGGGGCCCCCTGGTCCAGAAGGCCCTGCGGTGAGTTCTAGCTGTGACCCACTAGCCTCCATTCTTTTCACAGAGATGCTTCCTATGTGCTCACCTGTGCCTTCCCCCCATAGACCCAGGCCTCCTTCTTAGAACGCAGAGCATCCTTCCAATCAAAGCCTCCCAGATCCTCAGATCTCTTCTGTAGAGACCACCTCTTAGCCACATACCCCTCTTCTATCTGAACGCCCACACCTTACCCCCTCTTCTTGTGTTCTTCAGGGATTTCCTGGTCCCCCTGGCATCCAAGGCAATCCAGGTCCAGTTGGAGACCCGGGCGAGAGGGTATGAGGACATCCTGTGGGGGTGGGGGGACGGCTGCAGAGGAGCCACTGGTACCCAGTAGGGGTACCATGCCCAGTAATTTCTCATTAGAAAAGAAGGTAGACTCTGGTTGGGGAGGGGAGTAGTGTGGTGTCTCACCGTCATTTTTCTCCATGGGGTGTGGGGAGAGCTTGGGGAAGACGTAGGGAAGTCTATATTTATTCTGTTGAGGAGGGTTTCAAAATGATGCCAGGACCCTAACAACCCCCTGTGGCCGTATCCTTCTCATTCTTCCCCCACTCTAGGGCCCCCCTGGCCGAGCAGGGCTCCCTGGATCAGATGGGGCCCCTGGCCCTCCCGGCACATCCCTCATGCTCCCAGTGAGTTGTCTTCTGGTCTTTGGAATGAGCTGAGGGGGGAGGGAGGGAGAATTGTGTTGTGTCACCAAGAACCAGAGGAGCAGGAATGCCAAGGAGGAGTCTCTAAAGACCATCCACCCAAAGAGATTGATCTTAGGGGTGGAGGGTTTAGGGCCTCATTAGATGACCTGGAGCCAAACATGGAGCATCTAGAATTGGGCAGAAAATCCTAAATTTCAGGGGGTCTAGAACCAAAGGAGGGTCTTTGGGGAGGAAGAGGCTCAAGAGTGGAGGAGGAGGACAGGAGTTGAGTTTCTGAAAACCTCTAAGTGACTACCTGGAACCCATGGGAGACACTGGAGGGGGGCATGGGGGGAAGTGGGGTCCTGGAACCTGGGGGATGGGGCAGACATGCTGGATGATGCCTCTGGCTGGGAGGGTCATGTGGATTTCCTGGAAGACCCTAGACCTTCTCTCCTTGGCCCGCAGTTCCGGTTTGGCAGTGGTGGGGGTGACAAGGGCCCCGTGGTGGCGGCACAGGAGGCCCAGGCCCAGGCAATTCTGCAGCAGGCACGGGTGAGGAAGGCTGGGGGATCTTGGTGGGGGGAGGGGTGTGGTGGGAAGGGGAAGACTCTAGGAAGAGTTGGAAGGGTAGGTTGGAGTGAATGTAGGGCAGGCGGAGATCTGGGTTGGTTTGGGGTTGAGAGGGAGGTTGGGGAAGATACAGGGCAGTAGAATGAAGATCAGGGGTACAAGGGTGACTTTGGGAAGTGACCTGGGGTCCGGAATTCTCCAGCTGCCTCTTGCTTAGCTCTTCCGTCTCCCCTGCTCCCCCAGCTGGCGCTCCGAGGACCCCCTGGTCCCATGGGATACACGGGCCGCCCTGGACCCTTGGTGAGTGAGTGGGGTGCTGGGATAGGGGATTCTTTATTTGTGTGGGGGGTATGGATAGTTCTGGAAAAGGACCAAGTTGCAAGTCTTTTGCTTCTTTGGGGGAGGGCTCTGAGGCCACCGATGGGTGTGTCCTTCAGCACAGCCACCCTCTCTTCTCTCTCACAGGGACAACCTGGGAGTCCTGGACTGAAAGGAGAATCTGGAGACCTAGGACCTCAGGTGACAGCCCCCACCCACCTGATCCCCAAACCAGTGCCCCCGCCGTCTATACCCACTAACCCTGCCCCTGCCTCTCCCTCCCAGGGCCCCAGAGGACCTCAGGGCCTCATGGGCCCCCCTGGCAAGGCTGGGCGAAGGGTGAGTGACCTGAGGGTAGGATGGGTGTGGGTGGGGGATGGGAGGCAGAGCACAGGGTGTGGAGGACTGTGCCCCCTCTTGCTCTGACACCTCCCCTTCACCCCCAGGGCCGAGCGGGTGCTGATGGAGCCCGAGGGATGCCTGGGGAACCTGGAGTGAAGGTAATAGGCTTGGGCCCCTCTCTGGCACCCACAACTCCCAGCCCCACCTGAGCTCGTTTGTTTTTAGGGATAACCCCTCCCCACTCAGGGCACAGTAGAGAGGGGTGGGGTGGGAACGGGACTGGGACCTCACCTACGCTGCCCCTCTTCTCCCCAGGGTGACCGAGGATTTGATGGCCTCCCAGGGCTACCTGGGGAGAAAGGACACAGGGTGAGTATAGGGGCATGGTGTGTTGTGATGAGGGGGTAGATCTTCTGTGGAGGGGAGGGGAGGTAGGAGGCTGAGGGTCCCAGCAGGAGCTCAGTGAAGGAAATTGGTTGGTTAACTGAAGACAGTCAGTGTCTGCCTGTGTTGGGGGCTCTGCACCCCCTCTTACCTGTTCAACCATTTTCCAGGGTGATACTGGTGCCCAGGGCCTTCCTGGGCCCCCCGGCGAGGATGGAGATCGGGTAAGTGTTGTGGACGGCGGGGGCAGGGGTGGGGGCTGGGTATGGGAGAGGTCTGGACGCTGAGCCTGCTTCACCACGTCCTCCTCCTCCAGGGAGACGATGGGGAGACTGGGCCTCGGGGGCTGCCTGGAGAGTCGGTGAGTGTCAAGGGGTTTGGGGATGGGGGTGGCTCTGGGGATGCCGGAGGAGGGACACGGGCATGAAAGGGACACGTTTTCTCTCACCCATGCGGGTCCTATCTTCCCCTCACCTGAATGCAGGGAACTCGAGGTCTCCTTGGCCCCAAAGGTCCACCTGGGGTTCCTGGGCCCCCGGTAAGTGACTGTCCCTGGCTTCTGATCCTGCCCTCTCCCTCTTTCCACCTTCCCTGACTGCCTCCCTCCTCCCTCCCCTCCAGCTCCTCCTCCCTGGCCCCCACCTAGCCCTGCTTCAGTCTTCACCCCCTGGTGCCCTTGCGGGACCATGTCTTGTAGTGCACCAAAGGCTCTCATCATAGCCAAAAAAAAAAAAAAAAAAAAATCCTCAAGAAAACAAAACAAACCCCCACAAACCCACAGTCCCAGAGCCCCAGAGACCCACGCCCTGTGGATCCGGACCGGCTGTGTTTGCTTAGGTTTGGGATGAACTGCTGTGCGCCTGACCCGTCCCACCCTCTGGGATGGCCTGGCCTCAGAAACCACAGGTCCCTCCAGGGTCCAGGGCCGCCTTCCAGCCTGCTCATGCCCCTCTCGTGTTTCAGGGAGTCCGAGGCATGGATGGCCCCCATGGTCCCAAAGGAAGCTTGGTGAGTGCTGGGCATGGAGACCCCACCTGACCCTTAGCCCCTGGGGTCTCTGCCAAAGTCCTGTTCCCTTTGCCACCATTTCGACCCCCAGCCTGCCGTCTCGGCTGTCCCTGCCGGGACTCGGCTCTCTGCCCTATTTGTTCTGTCACCATCTCCTTCTGACCCCTGCCTGGTTGCCTGTTTCTAGGGACCCCAGGGAGAGCCAGGACCTCCTGGACAACAGGGCACTCCTGGGACCCAGGTGAGTGGTCCTGTCCATCCCCTCCCCAACTTCAGTGATTTCCCCTGGGCTTCCACAGTGGGCCAGATCCCGGGTGGGGACAGGAAATGAAGGGTCTCAAGCCTTCGCTGCTCACGCTCTGAATGGGGGCTGCTGCAGAGAGAGCGGCCCACCCCTGGGGGGCCCCCTGTGACTTCTCCCTCCTGTGTCTAGGGTCTCCCTGGGCCCCAGGGTGCCATCGGCCCTCATGGAGAGAAGGTAAGTGACTAAGTGATCAGGGGAATGGTGGATGGGCCAAGGCGGAGTGTAGGGTGGGCCCCAAATATCTGGCTGGGACTGAGCCTCCTCATCCCCCTGCAGGGTCCTCGAGGGAAACCAGGGCTTCCTGGCATGCCTGGCTCAGATGGATCCCCGGTGAGTGGCCACCCCTCTTAATACAAATCCCCCTTGACCTTCCACCCCAGGAAATGACTTTCAAGCACCTTCAGTGAGTGTCCGTACTGTGTGTCCCTTGCACTGGGAGGTCACTGGTGGTGCTGCCAATGGTTGGTCAGCTTCATTAGGTCCCAGGGGGGCATTTGGGTGGAAGAAGTGTAGGGAGGGGTGCAGGAGGTGACAGGGGCCAGTGGTCACGCTCTCCTTCCCCTACCCCCAGGGTCACCCGGGCAAAGAAGGTCCCCCTGGAACCAAAGGAAACCAGGTGAGATCTTCCACGCCTCCTCTCATCCCCTGGAGGGGTCTCTACCCAGACCCTGGGCCTCCAAGTCCCTGGGATTTCCTCACCTCGTCACGCGGCTCTGACAGTCCTTTGTCCCGTACCCCTCAACCCTCTCCAGACCCCAATGTTGTAACCTCCATTTCCCCCACCCCTAGGGCGCCCCCGTGGTGACACCCTGAGACCCCTTTATTGATGCCTCTCTGTCTTCTTCCAGGGTCCATCTGGACCTCAGGGTCCTCTGGGATACCCAGGACCTCGAGGCGTCAAGGTAACGAACCACCGGGCTGGGAGATAAAGGCTGGGGTCAGGGGAGCCAGCTGGGGCCCCAGGAGCTTGGTCCTGCCAGCCCAGCCTCCTCCCCTGATCTCTCAGTCTCTATCCCCCACTCTAATTCCAGGGTGTGGATGGAATTCGGGGTCTGAAGGGTCACAAGGGTGAAAAGGTGAGCAATGTGCCCCTAACTTCCCAGCCCCTCCACCTGCCCCACACCAGCCTTTCTGTCCATCTCTGCCTCACCCCCTCCCTCCATCATCTGTGGTGTCCTTTCACCCCAATCTTTCTCAGGGCGAGGATGGCTTTCCTGGGTTCAAAGGTGACATGGGTGTGAAAGGTGACAGGGTGAGTAGAAATCCCCACAGTGGCCCCCCAACTCTAAGTGCTGATGATCCTCCCCTTTGGAGCCCCCAGTTACCAGCCTTCACCCCCACCCCCCAATACCCCAGACTCCTCATCTCCAGGCTCCCTTTAGAGGATCTGATCACCCTCTAGAGCCTGATCTGAGCAGGAACCCAACCCCGTGCTCCGTGACCCACCAGCTCACCAATCACAGCACACTCCCTGCCCCTGTGGGGCTCCCTGTTCTGCAGTAGCTTCGGGGACCCCCACCGACCCCACTCAGCCTCACTGGGGCCTGCCTCTCCTCTCGGGGCTCAGCCCCTCCCCTAGTCCCTATCACTAACCTCTCCAACCCCCTCACCCAGGGCGAGATTGGAGTCCCTGGTTCCAGGGGAGAGGATGGTCCCGAGGGGCCGAAGGGACGCACTGGACCCACTGGAGACCCTGGCCCCCCTGGGCTCATGGGCGAGAAGGTGATGGGGAGGGTGTGAGGGGTCTGGTCTACATGCTGTAGGGCATGGAGGGGGTGAGGCCCGGGGCGCTGGGATCAGGGTTGGGGTGGGGTGCCGACAGCTGAAGTCTGCAAGTCAATCAAAGATGACCATGCATTATGCTCCTCTGTGTGTACATGGCGCCTCCTAGACACTGATGCGTTGAAGCGGGGGGAATACATAAGAAGTTAAGGAAAAGTCTCTGTCGTGAAGACTTTACAACAGATTGATGGGGACAGGGCAGAGAGGCCGTCATAGGATACCTGAAGGTGCCGGGCAGAGTGAAAATGTGTCCAGACTCCAAGCAGTAGGCATTCCGAGAAGGAAGAGAGTCAGAGAGGAGGTGAGCTCTGACATCTTCAGAGCTAGCTCTCACCAAGCCCTCACCGTGCGCCAGCACCGTGACATCTTGTCCTGTCAGTCCTGGGGGGTGGGCGCTACTACAGTCCTGAAGCATCAGGAGGTTTAGAAACTTGTTCATCACACAGCCAGTGAGGGCCAGAGCCAGGGTTTGAGCCCCAAAAGTCAGGCTGCAGAGCCCCTGCTCCCCACTTCCGCTCCACAGCTGCCTTGGCAAGATAGGTCCTGAAGCCTCAGGGGGCAGGCGTGGATGGTTGTGGGGGGGCCCGGGGTAGTGCAGAGTGGAGCCAGGGAGTGAGGCTGGGGGGGTGCTGCCTGCAAGGGGGCCGGTCTTGGTGGAGCAGGACTGTGTGCTGGGAAGATGGAGCTGAGGTTGACAGGTAGGCAGGGGCCGGATCACAGCGCCTGCAGGACTGGAGCTGCAGATTTTACGACACAGGGGAGGGGAGATTCCAGCACTAGAGTTCGGGGAAAATCCACTCTCAGCAAGGAGAGGTTACAAAAGCCAGGCATCCTGGGAGGTGGGAAATGAGGGGCCAGGGGCTGGGGCTTTTCTGGGTGGGGGGAGGGCTGGGATCTCCAGGGATGGAGCGGCATCCGTGGTTCCTCTCGCTCCTGATCGCTCCCTGTCCATCCACAGGGCAAGCTGGGTGTTCCTGGTCTGCCTGGCTACCCCGGACGCCAGGGTCCCAAGGTGATTCGTTGCCCCGCATGTGCCCCTCCTCCTTTCCCCTTCCCTGACCCCTAATTACAGGAAGCACAGACTGACAGAGCAGCGGGGGACCCTAGAGAGAATTTAGCCCACCCCCATTCTACAGATGAGGGAACAGAGGCCAGAAGCACTAGTTATTGGCAGAGCCCGGGTCTCCCACCCTGCTGCCTCCACCACCTCTCCTGACCCCCCTTGGCCCTTCCTTGGTCCTCCCCTTTTGTGACGTGTCAATTTTTCCCCTTCTCCATCCTCACCAGGGGTCTCTGGGATTTCCTGGTTTTCCTGGAGCCAGTGGAGAGAAGGGGGCCCGTGTAAGCTGGGGAAGTGTTGGGGGGGCAGAGGGAGGGGCAGCTCTGGGAGCAGGGGCCTCACGCCCTGGGTGATGTGTTGTTTCTGCTTCGTTCCCACCAGGGCGTGTCGGGCAAATCAGGGCCTCGGGGAGAACGTGGCCCCACGGTGAGTGCAGGGGAGAGACGTGCGGCTCAAGATCCAAAGAGGTGCTTCGGGGCTTTTCTGACAACGCCCCTGTCCTCTCTCTAGGGTCCACGGGGTCAGAGGGGACCCCGAGGTGCCACCGGGAAGTCTGGAGCTAAGGTTGGTGGTCTTGGCAGGGCTCATCCCGCCCTCTGCCCTGTAGCCCAGCTGCTCTCAACTCCTCTGGCCTCAGAGTTGACTAGAAAGCATCTCCTCTCACTCTCTGACTGTTTCCCCCACAGGGAACATCGGGTGGTGATGGCCCCCACGGGCCCCCCGGAGAGAGGGTGAGTGTGGCCTGAGCCCCCTGTTCCCCAGTGCTCCCCAGGGAGCCGGAGTGGGGCCGGCTCCCTCTCACCGCAGGGAGAGGCCCCTTGCCCAGCACCCCTCCCCATTCTCCTGACTCAACCTAGCTTTGTCTCTAGGGTCTCCCTGGACCTCAGGGCCCCAACGGATTTCCTGGCCCCAAAGGACCTCCAGTAAGCTGACCTCTGACCTCTGACCCGCCTTGGTACTGTGAATCCTTCCCCATCCCCCTTCGCAGCCTAGAGCTCACCTGACATCTGAACCTCTTCCAGGGCCCCCCTGGGAAGGATGGGCTGCCAGGACACCCAGGCCAGAGAGGAGAAGTGGTAAGTGGTGCCCCGGCCTCCTCAGACCCTCACTCCCGAGCTGTCTTGTCCCGAAGGCCCTCTGGGAAGGTTCTCCTGGCTGGGTGGAGCGCATCTCGGTGCTCCTCAGACCACAGCCAAGGACTTGGTGGTGACCCTGCCCTCCCTCCGGGAGCCTGGGGTCCGTGCCACAATGTCCACGCCTGACTGTGTGTTCTGACTGCCCTCTCCTCTCTTCCTCTCTCAGGGTTTCCAAGGGAAGACCGGCCCCCCTGGCCCCCCAGGAGTGGTGGGACCCCAGGTATGCCTGCTCCCTGGAGAGAAAGGACCCCAGACCCTGGAGCTAGTCTATCTGCCTCTCTTCTCCCTTTTCCCGGTCACGGGCCCCTGCCCCTCCTTTGACTGAGCTGGGCCCCTGGGACTGGGATTTGGAGCAGGGGTCCCAAATTTCAGTCTGTTTCCTGGACCAGTTCTCATCTTCTCGCATCTTGGAGAAGAGGAAGGTCCCCTCAGGGACACCAGGTGGTATGGTTACTCCACACCGGGGAATGAAAACCAGAGCGGAGGCCTAGGAGAGCTCCGGGAATTTCCCAGGAGCTTTGGGGCAGACATGAAGGGGTTCTAAGGGAAAATTTAAGGTGGACAGAGTGAGGTGAAGGCTCTGAGATTGGAGTCTCTCTGTCTCTTTCCCAGGGAGCCGCAGGAGAAACCGGGCCCATGGGGGAGCGAGGTCACCCAGGCCCCCCGGGACCCCCTGGAGAGCAGGGACTCACTGGAACAGCTGGAAAAGAAGGGACAAAGGTCAGTAAGGGGCCCGGCAGGGGGGAACTTGGGGGTCTAGGGTTGGGGTGCCTAAGGGAACAGGCAAATGGGGATTTGAGGGAACAGAGATCTCTCTGCCCAGTTTGGGAGTGTGGAAGTGGCTCATCACCTCTGTTTCCTTTTAGGGTGACCCTGGGCCCCCTGGGGCCCCAGGGAAGGATGGTCCCGCTGGTCTGAGGGGCTTCCCGGGAGAAAGAGGCCTCCCTGGCACTGCTGTGAGTGTGACTCCAACCTGGCTGCCTGTAATAAGTCAGCAGGCTTCCCGGCACCCCTCAGCGACACCCTACTCCCGTCTCCCCACCCCCATCCTTCCCCGCTTGTCTCCTGGACCCCATGTCCCCCCTTCCTGTCTCATGTCTGTTGCCTCTGATTTCTGGTTCATAGGGCGGACTTGGTTTGAAGGGAAATGAAGGTCCGGCTGGTCCCCCTGGCCCTGCAGTAAGTCTGGGGTCCCTGGGGGGGCAGAGGGGAGGAAGGATGCGGTGTGGCCACCTGGAGTTTGGGGGGGGCTGCAGGACCGGGAAGGGTCAGCCATAAGGCATCTGATGTTGGGCTCTTCTCCTGGGAACCATGGTCAGTGGTCCTCTGGTGTAGGTGGGCTGTGGTCTCTTCCTTTGGGGTGTCTCACTCTATCTCCTGTCTCAGGGCTCCCCTGGGGAGCGAGGTGCAGCAGGATCTGGGGGACCCATTGGCCCCCCAGGGCGCCCAGGGCCGCAAGGTCCCCCTGGAGCAGCAGGAGAGAAAGGTGTTCCGGTGAGTGTGGGGTCCCTGGGGAGATGCTGGGGAGGGGTCTGTGAGTTGATGGGTTATGGGGGATTTCCTGTAGGGGTGTTTGAGGGGGACAGCCATCTCTGGGTCATGACTCCTTCCTTCATTTCTCACAGGGTGAGAAGGGCCCCATCGGTCCGACTGGCCGCGATGGGGTGCAGGGTCCCGTGGGGCTTCCTGGCCCTGCTGGCCCCCCGGGCATGGCAGGAGAGGATGGAGACAAGGTGAGGGAGCACACAGACCCTGGACTCAGTCTTCTTTCCCGATGAGATTGCTGGTCTGGGCATGGCCCGCAATCCCTGTCTGCTTATTCTCCCTGCCCCACCCACTCCTTCCTCTAATGTCCCACCTGCTTTCTACCCCCAGGGTGAGGTGGGAGACCCCGGACAGAAGGGCACTAAAGGGAACAAGGGGGAACATGTAAGTGTCCATTCCTTTGACTTTTCACCTCTGGCCTTTAACCTCATTCCCACCTGGTCTCTCCCCGTCTTGGCATCTCTGACTCTTCTTTCTCCCCCAGGGCCCTCCTGGACCCCCTGGACCCATTGGTCCCGTGGGGCAGCCTGGAGCTGCGGTGAGTGACGATGTCCTGTGTGCAGCCTTGATTCTGCCCTCAGTTTCCCTCTGCCCATGGGGTTGGCGGTGGGAGTGGGGGACTCCAGCCCTGGTGCCTGGCTCTGTGTGGGGCTTGTGGCTAGAACACACCTGACCCACGACCATCTTTGTGTCCTTGTCCTGCCCTCCTCCCACCTCAGGGGGCAGATGGGGAGCCTGGAGCTCGGGGTCCCCAGGGACACTTTGGAGCCAAAGGTGATGAGGGAACAAGAGGGTTCAATGGGCCCCCAGGACCCATTGGTCTACAGGTGAGTTGGGGGGTGGAGACAGGGGCTGAGAGATGGGTTCACGCTGGAGCTGATGTCCGCCCCAGCCCCCCCAGCCCCCTGCTGACAAAGGAGGTCTGGGGAGGTGGGGGCAGAGGACTGGGTGGTGGGGGGTACGTGGGATCTGTATGGGGGGGACCCCTCTGCCGAGGGCTGTGCTCCAGGTGGTTTGGTCACCTGGGTCTGTGCTGTGTACACCTGCGCAGGGTTTGCCAGGCCCCTCGGGGGAGAAGGGAGAAACAGGAGACGTGGGCCCTATGGTGAGTGGGACCGCATTGATAGGGTGTGATCCCGACTGATTCCAGCCCCACCCGCTAGGCACACCCCTGCTCATCCAGCCCCCACCCCAGCAGCCCACTGCCTCCGACTCCCAGCTCCCTGCATGCCATTCCCTGGCCTGGCTGCCTCCCTCCCCGCCAGGACCTCTGCCTCCCTCACCCTCCACCACTCACGTGCATCCACGGCGGCTTTCTCTCACTTCCCTTCCCATCATGTGTATCTTTTCTCCAGGGACCCCCCGGGCCCCCAGGACCTCGAGGCCCAGCTGGACCCAATGGAGCTGATGTGAGTCCTCTTGGCCCCTTGTCCCTCCAGATCAGTGTGGCCAGTCCTCTGCCTCCCTTTCCCCAGACTGTAAACTCTAGTCTCATCTCAGATGCCAAGAGAAGCCGGTGGACCCTGGGAAGGTCTCACACTGTCTCACTGCTCTGACCTTAGGCCCTCCTCCAGGCTCTGCCCCCCCATGCCCCCCCTCCCATAAGCAATGATCCCTATTTCTATTCCTCTTCCAGGGTCCACAAGGTCCCCCTGGAGGTGTTGGGAACCTGGGTCCCCCTGGAGAGAAGGTACTGGGAAGGGGTACATAGGTGGTCTGGAGGGATGAGGGTTGGACTTTTGCCAATTTTGGGGGGTCAAAAGAGAGTGAGGGGGAATATCAGGATTCTTTTTTGGGGGGTGGAGGTTTTTGACCCCAATCTCCTTGCAGGGGGAGCCAGGAGAGCCAGGATCTCCGGGAGTCCAGGGCGAGCCAGGGGTCAAGGTGAGTGGTAGTTCTGAGGCCCTGCTCTGCACTCCCCTTCACCCCCTCAATCCCACCCCCACCTTTCCTCTGACCTCCTGGAGCTGGAACTCCTGCACAGCCCGTGAGTCTGTGCTCCCGGTCATTCTCCGTGAGGCCTGGTCCCTGGATCCGGGTGGGCTCTGTCCCCCTTTCCTTGAAGGGAAGAGGGGCCAGGGACTCCCACGATGGACTTGCCTTTCTGTGTGCACCCCGATGTCAGCGATGCAAGAGGGGGAAGCTGAAGGTTTTTTAGAAGCAGGGGCTGGATCTTTGATCTCTGGGACCCCTTTGGGACCATCTGTAACCTCCGCTCATCCTCTAGGGTCCACGCGGGGAACGTGGGGAGAAAGGAGAGTCGGGGCAGCCAGGAGAGGCGGGACCACCAGGGCCTAAGGGCCCCACCGGTGATGATGGCCCCAAAGGGAACCCTGTGAGTTTGTGGGGAGGGGCTGCGAGGAGGCCCCTGTGAATGGAGATCTGGGGATATGGGTGTGAGGATCTTGGAGTTTGGGGAGCCCAAGAGTGTGGGGGATGCCTGGGAGGAAGGCTTTGCGAATGGGGTCTCCTGGGAGGGATGTACGGGGTCTGGGATCCAGAGAGAAAGTGAGAGAAACCCTAGTTAATAACCTGAAAGCCTTAGAGTGCAGGCAGTGCAGGAGGTGGGGAAAAGGGGGTGCCGGAGACCTTCTTCCTAAATGGTGCAGGTGGGCACTGCCTGTAGGGAGGGAGAGTGTGGCATGTGGCCATGGGGGTCTGTTGGCCCTGCGTGGGCTTAGGGGGCTGTGACCCTGACCCTTGGTCTCCTTCTGGATCAGGGTCCTGTTGGCTTTCCTGGTGACCCTGGCCCTCCTGGAGAAAGTGGCCCTCGGGTGAGTCTTACCTGGGGAGGGGAGGGGCGAAGAGGTGGCCTGCTCTGGAGGGGCTCTGTGTGGCCGATGGGCGTGGGCAGGGGAACCGGGGTTGTGGTAGGGCAGGTGGAGGGATGGGAGGATTGGCAGTTTGACCCTCTGACCTTGTTTCATCCCTGCAGGGCCAGGATGGTGCTAAGGGTGACCGCGGAGAAGATGGAGAGCCAGGACAGCCTGTGAGTGCCCGGGGACCCCTACCCCACCACTGAGCCCAGGCCCTCAGCCCTGTTTCCCCTCTACTATGCCCTATGCCTGAGGGGTCCCTCACCCACCACTCTTCCTCCCTCCATAGGGATCCCCTGGTCCCACTGGGGAGAATGGACCTCCTGGACCACTTGGAAAGCGGGTAAGTGAGGTCGTCACCTGGGACCTTGCGGGGCAGGCTGGATGGCAGTTGGGGCAATGGCAGGTGGGATGTGGAGGGAGATGCCTGGTGTGCCGGTTGTCCTTGGGTGAGGTGTGTATGTGTGTGACCATGTGTGTTTGTAAGCGTGCTGTGTATATTTGTTCCTGTATATTCCATCTGTTCTTGCCAGGGGTGGTGTTGTGTACCAACCAATCAGAATGGACACGGAGGGAAGGGGCTGGCTTTCCTGGGGAGGTCCCTGCTGGGTCAGGATTAACCCTCTTTTTGCTGGTGGTGTGTGGGCAAGAGGCTCTTCACCAAATGCACAGAACGACTCAGTATTTTAACAGCTGATACAGCTGTACCGGCTCTCCCATCCATGAGTCGGCCTCTGCGATCGTGCCTGTGCATGCGCAGGTATGCGTGTGTGTGTACACATGTGTGTGTGTACACGTGTGTGTGTGTGCACACGTGTGTGTGTGTGCACCAGGAGGACAGCGAGGGGGAGGGGGGTTAGCCCGGCTATTCACTGCCGCCTCTACCTGCAGGGACCTGCTGGTGCGCCTGGTCCTGAGGGGCGACAAGGAGAGAAGGGAGCCAAGGTGAGGGAGAGGCCGCCCTGGATGCTGGAACAGCCCTTCCATCTTCCCACCCCTTTGGTCCTCACACTGCAGCCTCCGAACGCCTCCCCCACATCCACCATCTCCACGCCGAGCCCCCTGTGGGGACAGGGTTCCCTATACTTGTCCCTACCCCGGGGGTCCCTGGGGTTTGACCCCTCCTCCCTGCCTCACCCCCATCCACCTTGGGCCCCCTGCACCCAGCCACACCCCCTCCTCTGCCCTTCAGGACACTTTTTTGGGTGTGTTTCAGGGGGATCCTGGTGCTGTGGGCGCCCCGGGAAAGACAGGCCCTGTGGGTCCTGCAGGCCCAGCAGGAAAACCTGGCCCTGATGGTCTGCGGGGGCTCCTGGGCGCAGTGGTGAGTCACGGGGCAGAGAGGCTTGGCTGGAGAGGGGGAGGCGCACGGTGTGGGGACACTCTTCCTCATCCCCGTGGTCCCCTCGAATCTGCAGGGTCAGCAAGGCCGTCCCGGGGCCACAGGCCAGGCTGGGCCTCCAGGCCCTGTGGTGAGTGACTGTGGATAGGGTGGGTGGGTGGGTGGGGGGGGGGGCCCTGGGGCAGTGGGCATCCAGCCTTGGAGGAAGTGGGAAGTGGTGGGGGGAGAGTGTGGTCCCGCCTCCCCCAAGAGAGAGTGACTTCCTGTCTCCCCACAGGGACCCCCAGGGCTTCCTGGCCTCCGGGGCGATGCTGGGGCCAAGGGAGAGAAGGTGAGTGACCGCACATTGCCAGGTGTCTCAGCCCCACCCCTGAAACCTCCGGGGGGCCTCGTGCTCTTGGGGAGCCCTTCCTCAGTCAGGGCCGTGGCAGCCCCCGCTCTTTCCTCAGACCCGGCCCAAGTCCCTCTCTTGTCTTCTGGGCTCTGACCCCTGTGGTTCTCCTTCTCCCCGTCCATGTGTCTCCTCTCTGCATCCCCCTGACCACCTGGCCGCTTCTCCAGGGTCACCCAGGTCTCATTGGACTGATTGGCCCCCCGGGGGAGCAGGGAGAGAAGGGTGATCGAGGGCTTCCTGGTCCTCAGGGATCCACAGGGCCAAAGGGGGAGACGGTGAGTAGAGGTCATGGTCCTGGGAGGTCTAAGGGTGGGGTGAGGGTGGAGATTCATGGGGGTGTGGGAAGGCGGGGTGTGGAGCCTCAGCTGTGGGGGGAGGGAGGGGGAGGGGAGGAGGACCCAGTTGAACCAAGCCCCTCCCTTTCCTAGGGCATCCCAGGAGCATCTGGCCCTATTGGTCCTGGAGGGCCCCCCGGCTTCCCTGTGAGTACCCCATCTGTTCCTCAACTCAGTCCTCTAAACCCCACTGCCCCCCTCCATAATCCCCCACTGGCTTCCATGACAACGCCAGCATAACACTCATAGGTTCCCGTGTCCCCCATATGTTCCTACACCTTCAGTGTTTCCACTCCTGTCCTTCCAGGGCCTCCCGAATGTCCCCACGTCTCCCATGCCTGCCCCTCTTGTGATGGCTCCCGGGTCCTGTGAACTCGTGACCTTGCCTCTCCAGTTCTCCTTGTCCTGACCTTCCCCTGTGCTGACCATCTCTTTCTTGTTCCTCGTTTCACAGGGACCTGCTGGCCCCAAAGGAGCCAAAGGAGCCACAGTGAGTGACCCCCAGCCAGCTCTGACCTTCCCTTCCCCCAGCCCTCCATAGGTGGACTTGACACTGTCTCTTCAAGACAAACATACTCCCTGCCGGTGGAGCCCCTCATTCCCAGCCCAGGGACTGATTTGACCCTTCTGTGACCTTGATCGCATTCTTGACCTCCTGACCCCTCCATGACTTCATTGACTCCCTTGGCAGGGCCCAGCCGGACCTAAGGGAGAGAAGGGCATCCAGGGCCCTCCGGGACACCCGGTGAGTCAGCGTCAGGTCCTGCTCTTCTGACGGTCCCCCTCTGTCTGGGTGTTTCTCCACATCACCCTCACCCTGACCTGTCTCTTGCCCTCTCTGCCCTTCCCTCCACCAGGGCCCCCCCGGCGAGGTGATCCAGCCCCTGCCCATCCAGATGCCCAAGAAGACTCGGCGCTCAGTGGATGGGAGCCAGCTGATGCAGGAAGATGAGGCCGTGCCAACTGGGGGGGGCCCCGGGCAGTCCTGGGGGGCTGGAGGAGATCTTTGGCTCCCTGGACTCCCTGCGGGAGGAGATTGAGCAGATGAGGCGGCCGACGGGGACCCAGGACAGCCCCGCTCGCACTTGCCAGGACCTGAAGCTCTGCCACCCAGAGCTGCCCGACGGTCAGTGCCAGGGACACGACATGTGAACTACTGCGTGGGCATGAACAAGCAGGATGGATGTCAGGGGAGGCTTGGGGAAGCTGTGGGGTGGGGGTGAGGGTGGAGGGGCTTGGGGCAGCAGCTCTTTACCAACTGGGTCAGAGGTATTTCAGTATTTAGCAACTGACATGGTCCTACCAGGCTCTTCAGCTCATTATCTGCTCAGGGTCTACAGAAATAGATAAACATAGACTCGTGGACACACATGCTGGCATTTACACACACAGACACGTGTGCAAGCCTACAGCCACACGCTGGACCAGCGTGAGGATGTCAGTGCTCCTACCCCCTCCATTTGCGAGCCTGGGGGTGCTGCTGGGGGGAGGGGCGGCAGAGCCGGACAGGGGCATAAGGTGATGAAGGAAACCAGAGCTGTGTTCTGGGGCTCTGGCGGGGGAACGGAGGACTGGGTGTCTGAGGGCATATGTGGGGGCGGCTGGTTGGAGCAGTGGGAGGGAAGTGGGGCAAAGAGCATCTTGGGTCCAAGACCTCGGGGGCCCTGACCCTCCCCCCCACTCGACAGGAGAGTACTGGGTCGACCCCAACCAGGGCTGTGCTCGGGATGCCTTCCGGGTTTTCTGCAACTTTACGGCCGGAGGGGAAACCTGTGTGACGCCCAGGGATGATGTCACGCGGGTGAGATCTGGCCTCTGACTGCCCTGTCCCTTGCACCACAGTGGAGCCCCCCTCTGGGCCTAGTGGTTTCTGGGTTTGTGTGACAAGTTCCCTGACCCTTGACCCTGCAGAGCCTGCTGACTCTTCTCTTATTCCGTTCCTTCTCACCAGTCTTCTGGTGCTCACTTCATCTCCTTCCCTTGACAACCTAAGACAAAAGTCTGCCTTTTATTTATCCCCTGGTTCCCACCCCGGCCCCTTATTTCTCCCCCAGCCCTCTCCTCCCACCCATTCCCCACCCATGACCCTGGCTCAGCCGCCCTGCTTCTGTAGCTGCCCTGCAGGCCCGTGTCCATCCTTGACTACAGCCCTCTCTCCTGCCAGTTCTCTTACGTGGACTCTGAAGGCTCCCCAGTCGGCGTGGTCCAGCTCACCTTCCTGCGGTTGCTCAGCGTCTCAGCCCACCAGAACATCTCGTACCCCTGCTCTGGGGAGATCCGGGATGGCCCCCTGAAGCTCCGAGGGGCCAATGAGGATGAGCTGAGCCCGGAGACCAGCCCCTACGTCAAGGAATTCAGAGATGGCTGTCAGGTGGGAACCAGGGAGAGCTGGGTGGGGGCGGGTCCCAGACTCAGGCTGGAGGAGGCGGTGGGAAGACCCTTCGGGCAGGGGCACTCGGGGAGAGCATGAGGAGGCCAGCTTCCTGGTGTCAGGAAGGGCAGGAAGGATGGAAGGATGGAAGGTGGGTGTCACCTGTGTGCACATGGCAGTGTCACCCAGAGTGAGTCATGCAGGCTTGTAAGCACATTTACACAGGTTGCCCTCTGCACACACAGGGTATAAACAATGCCCCCTCCCCACGGAGGGGCACACGGACACCCCCAATCCGTATATACATCCCCAGAGTCGCCTGGAGAGGGTCACACAGGTACACACACGTGGAATCGTGTTGGCTGTCATCACACACTTACACCCACAAACACATATACACACGTCCCCGTGGAGTCACACAGGCTCACACCACCACGACAGACAGACAATCTCAAACCCAAAGCTGCTCAGACTGGCTCAAGACTGCATGCGTGTGCAAGCACACGCACACGCGCAACCCTCCCAGCTTCCCCAATCCTGACTCGCTGGAAGAAACTTCAGCAAAGTCTGAACGTGGGACACGGATGAGAGGAACAGCATCTCAGGGCGCCTGAAGGCGCGGAGAGCCAGGCCTGAGGTTGGGGTGTCTGCGGGCCCTGTGTGCCTCCCCTGTGCTCACTCCTCTCACTCCGGTGTCTCCCCCTCAAGACCCAGCAAGGCCGGATGGTGCTGGAGGTTCGAACACCTGTACTGGAGCAGCTGCCAGTGCTGGACGCCTCCTTCTCAGACCTGGGGGCCCCCCCGAGGCGGGGAGGGGTGCTGCTGGGGCCTGTCTGCTTCATGGGCTAAGACCTTCTCCTCTGTCTGACCCTGTCCGTCGACACCAGGCCCACCTGGAATCCCACAGCATCGGCTCTGTGCCACCTCGCAGAAGGGCTCCTCGCCATCTAGGGGGCCTTGGGCCAGGGCACCGAGAGCCCCCAGTCAGGGGCAGTGCAGGGGAGGGGTGCACCTGGGGCTCGCGGCCCTCCCACTTGGAGCCTGTGCCCTGTTCGACAGCTGAGACCCTTATTTAAAATTTACCTCCCAATCACCCCAAACACGTGGAAGAGAAAGGACACTGTGTATTTTGTATTTAAAAGTAATTATATTAATTATTTAAAGAGTGGAAAACAAAATGACAAAAAAGATAAAGAGAGAAATGCCAACAAAAATCAGCGGACTTTGGAGACAGGGCTCTCCAGGGGTGAGCCTGGCACCCTCATCTTTGCCTCAGGGCTCTCCTCAGAGACTGTGGGGGTTGGGGGCCGAACCCCGCCTCCCTCACACCCCACCTGCAGCACCCACTGTGAACGTTGTAATACACGGTCTCCTTTGTCTCAGGGCTCTGCCTCTCTCTGCCCAGTGTGGGGCTTGCTCATCTCTACCTACCGGGTGTTTGGCTCTGTGGTCCGCATGCCTGCTGTCTTTCACTTGGTCTGGGGCTCGCAGGAATGCCTGCTACTTGGGGACCAGGCCAGTCCCTCAGGGGAGAAATGGAATAGTGAGGGGTGTGTGCATGGCCTGCGGTCAGCAGACTGTTGAACTATTGAAATTCTTCCACGTTAGCTGGGAAATCGCCGTGGCCCTGAGCCCCCCCGGTACACCATTGCCATCCTGGCCACCCCCATCCCTCCCCTGGGTGCCCCCTCACCTTCTCTGATCCTGCAATTAAAGGGTTAATGTGTGGCATCTGGATGGGACTCCCAGGGCCTTGTCTAGCACTATGACCTGCGCCCATTCTGACTGATGGTTAAAAAATGTGATTGTCTCCTGCTGGGGTGCATGTGTGTGGTGCTTGTGTTGTTATTTCAATCCCCACCCCCACTCTCATCCAAAGGCGCCCCTTCTGGCTGAGCTGTTACCAGAAATGAATGGCTTAATCCCCGTTTCCTGGAGGGCCTGTCCAGCTGGGGTGTTAGGGTGCAGAGAGAGTTCATGAAGCCTGGCGTAAGAGTTCAGAATCTCAAACAGATCCCCCAGTGACAGCAGGTGGGGGTCCAGGGTTCTGCCTGATGCTGGCGCTGGATTGGTTCGGTGTGAGGGTGTGCCTGCCCTCCCTGGTTTCACCTCAAACACCCCATTGCCTCCCAGCTTTAGGGACCTCAGGGCTGGAAGGCGCCCCAGATGTCTAGTCTGAACTGTTTGCAAATGAGACCGAGGCTCACTTTCACGACAGCGTTTACCGCCCCAGTCCCTTTGGTACAGGCTCGAATGTCCTGCCATAAAAAGCCAGGGCTGCGGCTGGGGCCCCTCATGCTTGTGTGTATTAGCGTCTACATTACTGCAGGCTTTGTGCCGTGTCAAGATGCATAATCCTCGCCCAGTGTCTCCTCCGACTCCGTGCCGCCCGCTGGCGGCCCCTCTCGGGGTTTATTCAGCAGCTCCGAGCCCTCTGGGTCAGGTGTCTCCTCTGTTCAGGGCTGGCTGCACAGCCGGGCATTCTTGGCAGCTCCTGGGCTTCCCATCCTCACACAGCACATCCTGCCTCCCGCCCGTCCTGGCAGGAGATGAAGACTTCTTTCAGGGCCTCCTGATTACGACGCCCCTTTCCTCGGGCTGCTGGTGCGGGAGGGGGACGGTGTACGAGCGTGTGCACGTATGTGTGTCCCTGCTTCTCTTCCGCAAACCCCCGGTGCGGGTCGGGGAGGGGCTGCTTTGCACCCCAGACCCGGAGTCCCAGTAGGCGGCGTCCCCGCCCCTCGTCCCCGTACTTCTTCCTCCCGGCGGATCCCCGACGGCAAGGACAAAGCCCCGATCTTTGAAACCCTGAAGTGTTGGAGCTAACTCGGTATCGATCCCAGGGAGCTCTCCTATGGGCATCTAGAAGTCCGGCCTCGCATCGGCGGCGGGTGGGCAAGAAAACCGAGCGCAGGTGAAAACCCGCTTCCGCGCGCCTGCTCTTCGGGCTCCGCGCATCTCTCTGCCTCTGCGGCCCCCTGGTGGCGGCGCGGAGACCTCGCCCGGCTAAAGCGCAAGCGCAGTGATTCCGCGCCCTAAGACATCCCTAAACCGCCGCCCCTCCTGCGTCACCAACTGAACCCTCATTCCCACTCCCCCAACCCAGGAGGAGGCTGAATGGAGCAGAAGCCCCTGGCCCTTGTCTATATGGAATCAGGCGATGGACGTGGTTTCTGGGATCAGCCACGCCCTCCCCTCCATCTCAATGGCTTCAGGCACCCTTCTCCCCCCAATCCCAGGCCTCAGCTGAACAGAAGATCAGACCTAAATAGATGCTCCTCACACCGCTCGCCCGCACCCACTCCCAGACAAGCCGGGCCAGAGCTGAGGTTTCTCCGGAGCTCTCTTTGCAGTTGGAGCCAAACCACAGAGGTCGCCCTTGGAGCACAGAGGGGAGTGTTCCCAAAGGTCACTTTTGGTCAGATGCTCTGAGCTCAGAGAGATTTTCTCCGTGGAAGCAAAGCCATGCATTTACTCAACTAACATTTATACACGGCGGTTAGGTCCCCAGGCCCATCCACAAAAGCCTATTTAACTAGTATGCCAAGCAACCCCGTCAAACGGTTTTATGAGCAATTCTGTGCCAAGCTGCAGCCGAGGACGCCAGGACCACAGCCCTCTCCTTGCAGTGGGGCATCTCCTGCCTCCTCATCCAGCAAGCTGGGGCCTGGCTCTAAGGAAGGATGAGGGAAAGCACCCAGAGGTGGAAGTTTTAGGGTGTGACTGGGCGTAGGTAGTGCAAGCGTCCTGGAATCTGGACATGTGGGGGCTGGCAAGGGCTCCAGTAGCTTGTGGACAGTGGAGGCTTCTAGATGGGATGGGGAGGAGATAAAGGAGAGAGAAATAGAGACTTGTGGGAGTGACTTTGGGCCCCCCCCAGGTTGGAGGAGGGTGTCAAGGTCCTAGACACATACACAGCCAACAACAGGTTGGGAGACTTAGGAGGGGAGAACTAGGAGTGGGGAGGACAATGAGATTATAGCGTGAAGGCTGGGGGGTTGGGTCCTCTAGCCTGTCACATCTTGGAGCTGCTTCTTAGCCTTGAGCTGTATTTGTGGCATCTGTGACTTATGGTCAAAAAGCAACTTGTAGGGCTTCCCTGGTGGCGCAGTGGTTGAGAGTCCGCCTGCCGATGCAGGGGACGTGGGTTCGTGCCCCGGTCCGGGAAGATCCCACATGCCGCGGAGCGGCTGGGCCCGTGAGCCATGGCCACTGAGCCTGCGTGTCCGGAGCCTGTGCTCCGCAGCGGGAGAAGCCACAGCAGTGAGAGGCCCACGTACCGCAAAAAAAACAAAAAACAAAAAACTTGTAAAATTTGGACAACTTAGGTAACTGTACTTGGGAGCAGCATATATCCCAGAGGGCCATGGCCTACATATCTCTGTCTTCCCTTGGTCCTCAAGTCAGTGAAATATGGTACCACTGTGTGAATTCTTACACATTTTCTTTGCCTAAAGTACATGCACATGTTTTGGTTATAGCTGTTGTGGTTCTGTTTATGTCACTATCACACATGACATTCACCGACATTCATTCATTAGACATACCTGACACCACTTAGCGGTAGAAAAGCCCAGTTCCACTTTGCTATGTCTTTAAAGAGTGGTTTTATGGCTATTGCAAAAGCTTTGAAGATACTAAGTCTCCTACCTGGCAGCTCGGGATGCAACATGGGTATTGGAAAGTATATCAGCCACTGTATTGTCTTATTGATTTATTACCACAAGTAAATCTATACCAGCTCCTTTCTGAAATCCTTTGATATGGCACTAAACTCAACAGATGCCCATGGGCCCACACAACAGCGTCTGGGATTCCTTCTCCATCCTGTCAGTCACAGTTTCGGGGCTCTTTACTGAGAAGCACCGTGGAGGGTGCCATGTTGGACAAGGCACAATGTAAGGTGTGATTACCGAGAAGATAAGCAGCTGTGAGAGAGCTGTTCGTGACAGTCCTGCACTGGGACTGAAGGAAACCATTCCATCATTTTACTGTACCTGATGCTTGAGGGTGATATGTACATTGAGAGCTCCATTTTACATTTCCATGAATCTACTCTTATTATAGCTTGGCTGCGAACAAGAGATGCTATATATGTTGGTTCAGATTAGGTTGAGCTGTGAGACACAGATACCCTGAGAACAATTATGGTTTAACCAAGATAGACTTTTATTTCTCTCTCACGTTGAGCTCCAGGGCTGGTAGGGTGTTTAACAGTGTCAGAGATTCAGACTTTTTTTCCATCTTCTTGTTCCACCAACCTCAACATGGCTCTTCCTTCTCAGGTCCAATATGACTGCTTGAGTTCCAGCTTTCAGATTTGCATTCAAATCAGCAGGAAAGAGGAAAGGGAAAGAAGGACCCATCACCCTCTTTATAAGGCCACCTTCTGGAAGTTGCACACGGCAGTTCTCCTTACAGAGCATTGGACAAAACTTACGTGTGGCCACACATAACTGGAAAGAAGGATGGGAAACTAGGACTTATTCTGGAAGTTCATGTGCCCAAATAAAACAGAAGGTTCTATTAGGAACTGTGGAATTATGGATATTAGGGAACAATTCTCTGCCTGCCATGTCTCTAAATCATTTCTTTAGATCCAGAAAGGGGGGATTCTCCAGTGACTGCTTTTACCAATAAAGCAGTCCCACAATTTTCATAAAAATCAGTTGTTTAAGAACATATTTGCCCTGAGGGGAGGGGTTTCCAATATTATCTACCCCCGAGCACTAGGCAAAGTATTAAGCAGAAATTTAAAAACAAATAGACTATGTATTCTGTTTTGCAAACTTCCCTCTAGGGATTTCTTGAAGTTTCTGCAGGCTGTTACAGGCACCTAGAGCTTGTTCTTTTTTTTTTTTTTTTTTTTTTTTTTGGTATGTGGGCCTCTCACGGTTGTGGCCTCTCCCACTGCGGAGCACAGGCTCCGGACGCGCAGGCTCAACGGCCATGGCTCACGGGCCCAGCTGCCCTGCGGCATGTGGGATCTTCCCGGACCGGGGCACGAACCCGTGTCCCCTGCATCGGCAGGCAGACTCTCAACCACTGCGTCACCAGGGAAGCCCCTAGAGCTTGTTCTTGTTGTCACACGTTCCTCCCTGACTTCACCATGAGTTATCTCTATTGGTGTGCTTGCCTCTGAGTGAGAAGGTAATTGGCCTTGTTGGAGTATAAGTAGAATAGTTAGAATGTGTATCATCTCAAGATGATTTTAATTAGAAATGTCAGCCAGTTGAATTTTCAGAGACCCGTGCCATACAGATATGTGTTCAGTATTCCAGTCCTTAAACTCCAGTGGTCTATATATCTATTTGCCCTCTAGAGCAGTGCTGTCCACTAGAACATTCTGTGATGAAGGAAATATTCTGCATCTGTGCAATCCAATATGGCAGCCACTAGCCGCATGTGGCTATCAAGCACTTGAGAAGTGGTTAGTGCACCTAAAGAATTTTATTTTTTTGTTTGTTTTTTGGCCACACGGCATGCGGGATCTTAGTTCCCCAACCAGGGACCAAACCCCTGTCCCCTGCATTGGAAGAGCAGAGTCTTAACCACTGGACCTCCAGGGAAGTCCCACAAGAATTGTAGTTTTAATTTTATTAAATTTTAATTAATC